TAAGGTTTTTCTTTTTGTTTTTCGGAACTTTTTCCCCCCTTTTTTTTTTTTTTTTTTTTTTTTTTTTTTTTTTTTTTTTTTTTTTTTTTTTTTTTTTTTTTTTTTTTTTTTTTGCCGTTGCAGTTTGTTTGTTTTTCGGAACTTTTTCCTTAGCTCGGTTGATAGAACTTGGTACACCCCTGAACTGTTGAAATACAGACCGGAGTTCAAATCCAGACAAAACCAGATGACCATAATAAGATCATTCTGAATCACCTGGGGGCGTTCAATGCGATGATGATATCTCAAGGCCGTCTCCCTTTTTGAAAAATAAAAACAAAAAAAAAGGACGACAGCCTTGAGAAATCGTTGTGAAACTGACCTGACCGGCCCTCGGCAATTCAGAGATTCCGTTCATTCAGGTTCCCCATCTGGATTAGGAGTCAGGTTTGCATTTCGACGTGCGCAAACCGTGCGCAAACCGTGCGCAAACCGTGCGCAAACCGTGCGCAAACCGTGCGCAAATCTAGGGACGTTGATAAGAGCAATCACCTTTAGCACCCCAAGGGAGGCTCCATCTATTGGGGGGGAGCATCACCTGCTGGAAAACGGATCCAGCATCCCATATACAACATGGAATTGTCTGAGGAAAACAAGGAGGTCTGCCACCATTAACTCTTCAGCTTTGCTTTTTTTTTTTTTTTTGAGCTTTGCTGTTGTGCACATGCCTTTTCTGAATTGTGCATCCGTTTTTTTTTTTTTTTTTTTTCTTTCAAAAAACAAGCTCCATCTATTGGTGGGGAGCAGTGCATCTGATGCTGCGTACTGCACAAATTACTGTGTATTTCCACATCTGACTTTGACATCTATAGAGGAGCTCAGTGGTTGCATGGCATTATCCTCATCTTTCTTCTGGAAAGTAGACCCGATACGTTCGGACTGATCGAACATTTTGAATGTGTTGGACCTCTATCAGGTCCACATACATTGAGTATGCTGTGTAGTCAAGGAGGGCCCACTGTGCTCGTCAGTCTTCTGCCGTGACTATGACACGTGCATGCGCAGTTGCAAATGGACGTAAGCGAAACCTCAAAAGTTATGCCAAGCATTACTCGATACAAAAATTAAGTAGTACGGTGCAAAGTGAATCACCACCCTCTCCTTCTTTCAATCCCCCAACCCTACCGTCTTCACTAGAATAGCATGCCCAGTCGATAACATGATTAATATCACTGTATCTCGACTAAAAGTTGCATTAAATGCAGCTATCATGACCAGCCGTTCTATTCGGGGGAAGATGGTAGGTGATGAGCTGGCATAGTCCAACGCTCTGCTGGCACCCGCCACCAGTGTCATCATTCTTTGTCAAAGACTCAGAAGTAGCGGGGCAGAATACTACATGTCAAAAAACAAACAGAATAGTTCATGTCAGGTGCAATACAGAGGAGGATCTGTGGTGGAGATCGACAGGAGGTAACCATGGAAGAAGGGTTGGCAGAGAGTTGCAGAAGCTTACTTGGTGGCTTGCCGTTAGCCGAAGAGGACTGAAGAAGGGGGAGAGAGATATGTATTCATTTTTCAAGACTTCATTCTGTTGGTACTTGTGCTGGTG